TGGCATGTCCTATCATTGATCTCGTCGTTGAGAAGTGGGCCGATAACCTATGCAAGTGTTAGCCTGGCACTTCGGAGGTGACACGACATACTCTCGCACTAGGACTTCGAGAGCTGGCCTAGAGAAGACTGCCGCATGGGTGAGGACCTTTGGTAGCCCTTTTTTAGAGTCAATCTGCCTTAGTATCGCATGTGGTACTGTCATTGCTCAATGAGGTTGAACTAATATTAATATTGTTCCTCTTGAATGAAGTATGGGCTCATGACATTCCCGCATACCGCACTCTCGCAGGCAGGCTGCCAGTGCCCACAGTAGACTATATGTAGAGGAGCAGTCAATAAATACACATTACATTATATTTATAATGCTCGCCTTCAGACTGTGCTCAATACAAGTTAGGATCATGACTACCATCACTCCCAGTAAGTCTCAGGGCATAGGCGCTTGATACAGTGCGCCGGGCTTGGGGGTTCAAAGAGGCCGCCCGAGAACAATGCACAGGCGGTGCGATGCACTCTTCAGCCCAATAAAGGTCAAGTCTGTTAGCAAGACTATGAATGTACAACACCAAGACCTTTTACAAACAACAAGAGGAAACTGTATGTTTACTGTGTATAAACGTTTACACCAAGTTTACATGACTTCATTTACACACACGGAAACGGTAAACAGTAATAAACGTTTATACACAGTAAACAAACAAAACGGTTGGAGCCTTAAACTCATCAGCAAGAGACGAAGACGAGCAATAGAAAGAAAAGGATTATGAAAAAAGCAAATGCCAGGATTTCTTCAATTCCCATTAGCCGACTTGAACGACTGACCTCGTCATTACTAGTGACGCGCTCTACCAACTGAGCTAAACGGGAGCAATCGCCAAACATCTATAAGGCATATAATGCAAGTGCTCTGTCTTCATCTCCAGTCGCAGTACCAGCTCATTTCTTCCCGAAAGCCTGATGAATTCCACAATTACGGTACAATTCAGAAACTACAGAATAAAACAACGAAGCTCAAGGAGAGATGGTGCGTTTGCTAGAAGTACAAGACACCAGGTTTAAAATCCACTATACTACTTTCCCTTCGGATGATTACGGAGTTGTGCGAATGCACGACGACAAAAATAAACCGGACTCGAGGACTGTGTGATCTACAAGATGCGGGTGCGATGCTGAGGGGATCGTTCGATAAATATTACAAGGCGATTATCGCGCAAGAGGACGACGAGGTTTTGGTGCCCCTATTCGACTGCGGGTGTGCGGGAAGCCAGCACAACATGGGCAGGGGCGTGGGGAGGGCTGCGCCACAGTGTCTCGAGGCGCAGAGAACGTCGGAGCCGTGGGGCGAGGCGGTCTTGATGGCGGAGGGTGCCCCACCAATACTCGGAGAAGTCGTTGGGGAGGGGAAGAAAGAGAAGAGCGTGCATGTGGCGGCTGTGTCCGAGGGTGCGGAGACTTCAGTCTCTTGACGAGACCATTTCGAGTAAGGTTTATGCATACTCAAGCCTATAACGCCGAGTGATGTATGTTTCGCATGTGCTATTAGAGATATGATAGCGTATGACGTGCGAAAATATTGGGGCAGCGCCTAGTTGAAGCCGTCGAAGTGTCCAGTGAGGATACGCTCGCCCATTGGGGACGGCGCACGCTTGGGGCGGGGCGTGCCTGGTGCGAGGGTGTTCGCACGACGGGCCTTGCGCGGAATGGGCGATGGAGGCTGAGGCCGTTCGACAGCAGGCGTATTGGGAGGCACCCGTTCAACCAACGCTGTCGTCTTAATCTGCGGTGGCTGGGGCTGTGGACGGGGTTAGTAAATATGGCACAGCGTCGTGCGGCAGGCATACTCACGCGAAGAGCAGTGCCACCGAGGGAGAGACGGCGAAGAAGGCCTGCCGCACGGTCACCCTGTACCGGCTGCGCGGGAGGCTGGGACGGCGCAGAGACACGCTCGGTCGTCGGCCAGGCAGCCGTGCTTACGCTACGCGCATGACCGCGCTTGGGGATAGTGAAATCAGCATCAGAGTCGTCTGTATTGCACCATTTAGCCTCGGGTGGCGTCCTAGACGCGGAAGTATTAATATTACAAACCTTCGAAGGCTGCGGTGCCGAAGGCACGGCGGAAGGGGAAGGTGGAAGTGGTCGGCGACTTGGGAGACTGGCTGAGGAAATAGTTGAGAATGGGCGTCGAGCCAGGACTCGATGGCACGACACGTGGGGGCATGCCAGAGATGGGTGAGTTGGAGGGCGAGACTGGGGAAGCGGACTCCTCGGATGAAGAGGAGTCAGAGACAGAGTCCGCGCGGTCACGGCGGGCGTTGATGGGGATGGGCTTGCTGTGCGGGACGTTGGCATCGGTGTTGGAAGTCATGGTGACGAAGAGCGCGGCGTCGAAAGCGGGGGAGGAGCAGACAGAGAGAGGGGCAGAGGAAGAGAGGAGCTTTCGTCGCAACGCGGGGAGCGATGCTGTATATGAATCGCGAACTTTGGTCGGAGTTCGATTGAGATCCATGAGAGATGCCATCACCGCAGAGCTTGGCTGAGTCGCCCAGCTGCGAGCTGACCGATCCTCTTTATACCCGCTGGCCTGACCCATCATTGCAGAGCCGCAGCGGCCTCCAGCTCATCACATACCAAGAAGAAGACGTAGCCCTAGCTCGACATGGACATCCCGCTGGCACATAGGCTTGCGGCGACGACCCGGCAGCTTGGCTTTTGCCTCCGTCAAACTTCAGTGATCATTCCTCCAAGCATATACAGAATACGAAGACGATGACCCCATCCTCCCGGTGTCTCCTTCCAGCCTTCGTCGAATGCAACTCCGTTGCTCTCTGTACGAATATCTCCTGGACGCTTTGAGCCTCCGTGTCCAGGCACTTTGCCCCGCACTGCGACGCGGACTGTTAACACGTGTCGCACATCTCCGGTGTGTAATCGAGACTAGGCTATTCTGGGATAATCCGTGCCGAGCACACGGATCTCTATTCATTGCAGGCAGTTGGGCACGTCAGTTGTTCACATGCTCTCTAACTGAACCGCACTCTATTGCGGGACGGACCGACAGCCTGAGGCGAGTTCTGGTTTGCTTTCCTCTGTTTACAGCGCAGACAGGCTCTCATAGCGGCGGCGACTTACAGGCACAGCGAGCAGTCTTCCTACCTCGGGTGACATACCGCACAGCGATCATGGTAGCCCCGAGTGTTTTGTCGCAACTGCACACAATATTGTTAGCGCTGGACAACTTCCACCTGATTGCCATCGCACACCGACCATATTTTCCGAAGTTGGACGCGGGTTCCACAACGTTCCACGTTCCTACGTGACCGCCTTCGCCCTGCGCGCTGCCCAGGCCAACCTAGCCACCTTCAGCATTTTAAGAAACAATTTGCGAGAGACTGGGCGCAGCCGACGGCAGATCTCTGCTGCAACCCGCCAGCGCAGTCGTACCCCCGCCCTGAGCCAGACAACCCTGCACGATAGAGTTCGTCTAACACGACCAAGAACGCGAAACTTGCTTCGTGTTGCGCTAGTTTCCACTGACAAGACATGCTTCACAGTTTCGGACCCAGCGCGCAGCTAGCAAGCCCATTTCCACACAGCCGAACGCCCAGTCTCTCCGCCACGGGACCGATTTCCTATGCTTACTGTGCGCTACACCGTCGTCTTGACGCAGCTGTAGCTCCCTGCACCGCGCTCTACTGCTCTCGCGTGACAGGCCGAAGTGGCTTTGGAGATAAGCACGCCGTTTTTGTTCGCACAATCACCACACGCTATTCACTAACCTTGTTTCACCGTGAGAGAAGCACAGGTCACCTGGCTTGTGCCCTGCACAATGCACGCCGAGGCAGTGCCATTCTCAGCTGCTGCCGTCCCCTGATGGCGCTTCTCCCGACGGGTCTGGTACTTTCTGTACTTATACGCCGCATTGCTCCAGTTGCTCGGCCTTCTGTGTCGTGCAAGGAAGGTGTCGTTGTTCCGCACATCTCCCTCCGCTCTGTGTGTGGCCCTGCTTTTGCCTGAACGATCGTGCCTCGAAGGTGGCTTCGGCGCTGAGACGAGCCACAAAGAGCCACCCTTAGCGCGAAAGTAGGCTCCTCACTCCACGGTCCCATTACCACTATTGTCTGATGCAGATCGTTGCTGGTTACAGTACGCACCCCACGCCAGGGTCATGATCGGCCCTTCTCTGGTGTCCCAGAACATAACGATGCCTCACACGACTCTGCTCACTCCCACTGTTACCAGTGCGCTGAGTTGCGAAGGGAGAGTTTGTACGACATTGCAACGTCTGGCCGGTCACTATCTGTGCCGACCTTATCTAGACTCTGACCTGCTTGTTCTAGGTTCAGCTTCTGATTCTTCCCTGGCATGCACATCAGCGATGCGCAGCACAATTCTCCTCTGTCCTGGCTGTGCGTGATCTGCGTGACGTCTGCTCATCTTTGCTGTAGAGTTCTGTCTTGCACTTCGAGCATGAATGCCTAAATATTCGGAATTCAGTGTACGCGCCTGTAACGATACTACTTTGTTCGTGGTCTATGTTCACTGCCTGAGGTCTGCCGGGACATTGCAATCGAGCAGGTGCAAAAGCAAAGGTTAGTCGCACCACATATGCCACGCATGCGCAGAAGCCAAGGCAAAGACAGGCGAGAGCGGGCTGGCCGGCGTCCGTTCACGTCCATCTCGCACGATGTTTGAAAAATCGGCACCGCGTACGACGCGTCGCTGTCACATCATCTTGAGCCCCAGACGCGTCTGGGGCGTGTCTTGTACTGCTAATCGGGCTCAAATGGTAGCTGCTTTAACCCCTAATGTTTATAGTTTCGGTTGTCTGCCAAACGACAGCCTATTGCTTCCGGCGTTCAAGGAATATAGCAATGAGGTTGCGGTCTGCCTCGTCAGGTCCGGACTGGTCCAGACAGTTCTTCCGCGGCGGCCTCTGGAGTTGTGGCAACCGACTTGAACAATAGTTGTCAGAATCTGTCTGCTCTACCGGTGCAGAGTCCCATCCTCCAACACAAGCCAACACATCACCCTGTCCCGTCTAGCCTAGGCTTTCCAACTAAAACTTCTTGTGAGCTCCGACTTGTTGCTCGCATGACCAGCCATGTCTTGCTCAACTCAGACATCTCCAAACCCGAATTTCACTCACTGTCTGGTCTCAGTCATCGACACCATGATGAGCACCTCGTGCAGTCATTCTGAAGCATTTCCCGGTGTTTGACAATGTGTAAGCTCATGTCGTGATCGCCAAGCTCCGAGTCGTTATGAGGCCGAAGATGCGGCCGAGCCTGCCTGCTGAGCGCGGCGATGTTGGTCTATCCCACATTATGAAATGACTATTATATCGCAAGTCGATGTATGCGTTAAAATTCACAGGGTGTAGCGTGCGATTCGTCAAGACATCGTCGAACCAGCAGTATGCGACACGCAGCTTGCCAAGGAATAGCCCATTTCGTACAGTGACCACTGTGGCGCGTCGTCATATTCCCCGCAAGACTCCTGCAGCGCCTATACCGTGCCACCTCGGATCGCCGCTGCTCCGTTGCGGGACGGGGGGCCGAGTATGAAAGTGCGCACATCCTGCGTCCTACAGAATATCTGGCACTCGCAGCAGAGCGTTAGCAACGCAAAGTGGCACTCGAAAAGTGGCGTGATCGGTACGACTATGAAGTGACTCGTCGACGGGACACCGGGGCGGGATGATTGGAAGCGAGGTGGTACGAGGCGTGCGTGAGCAAGGGGTGAGAGATATGTTCCCATCGTGAGGGCACCTTATCGTATCACTTTAATGGACGTGAGTTCAGGGCTTGGCAGAGCAGCGGTGGACAACGATCTTCTCTGCTGATACACCTCTGCACCAAATGGAGGTACTACTAGTACGCGGCCATGCGGCGGTCGTCAGACATGGTCGGGTCGCTTGCGTCTGCCATGCCGTGTATTCGTTTAAACCAAAGACAGACCTAAAAACACGCTTTGAACACTCACTAGCAAACACGCAGGCGTACGCTCTGCCGCGCACGTGCAGACAACTGATTCCTCGCTACACTTTCCACGAGAGACACAATTTGCGGAAACTGCTCCTTCGACAGTGCTAGCGACGTCCTGTGGAGTTGAAACTCGAGCGTAACGTTGTTGTATGCACTCAGCACGGCGTCGAGCAGTGCCCAGTCGAGCACGCGCAGTGGATACCGGAGGTCGCCGTTGAGCACGGGCATCGGGGGATCGGCGAACCCGGCCTTGAGCGTGAACTGCAGAACAAGCTCTTCGACGCTCGGGATAGGGCACGCTGCGACGGTCCGGAGGCTGTTCCATGTCGAGATGGTCGATTCGATCAGGACATACCCTGAGATGGTCAGTGTGCGCAGGTTGGGGAAGAGTCCAACCACGTCGCGATCGAGGATGTTCGCAGAGTGTAGGCCCTCGAGGGTTAACGTTCGGACGTTCTGCAGATTTTGCAGTAACGGGGCCATGTCTGTGGTCGTCACGCTACCGATGAGGTCGTTGACGACGACGTGCGTGATCGAGGCCGGGTCTGCGGACGCGGTCACGATTCTGAGGAATTGGACGAACGCGAGCGAGGTTGCGGTGTCGACTTCGAAGGCATGTATCTCTGGGAGCTTCGCTGCGCCAATGGCTGGAGTCGGATAGTAGTCCGCACGGTGCCGCATGACATCTACCAACTGCAGTAGGGATATATGGCTGAACAATCGGAGCAAGTCTGCCAGCAGACCCAGCCGCTCGTCGGATGCCATTGGCGGCGCAGGGTAGTCAAGTGTGAGCCTGTGCAGTTTTCGTATCCCTCTGTTGACGCGAGTGGCGGGCAAGGGCTCATGCAGAAAATGAGGAGAGCTGAGGTAGAGCCATCGCAAGTGTGGGAGGCTATCTACGATGCCCGCCATGTTCGAAAGCGTGACTTTGTGATGATATTCTGTCCGACCGGTTCCCCAACCTGTGAGGTCCACCACCGTCCATTGAAAGCAGATTTGGAGGGTTTGGACGTAGCATTGTACGCGAGGCGACCCATCTATAAAGCCGAGCAACTCGGTCCAGAAATTGGAGTGGTCCAGGAATGCGCATTTGCACCGGTCGTAGAACCGCCCGCCCTTTCCGGATGCGTGCTGACAAGGCGGCCACCTGAGCCGTTCGAAGAGGTGGAGGGAGCTTGATGACAGCCAGGCGCGACACACAAGTGAGCATTGGCGGAGTGCATCCTTATCGTCGTACAGAAAGTCAATAATGTGGTCTGTGAGCTCGGGAGGAACGATTGGCACGGGATCCTTCGGGCATGAGAACACGAGCGAGGCGTCGTGTTCATTGGCGATGTCATGCTTGGATGGCAACATTTCAACCAGCATGAAAGTCCTACTCATAGAAAATTATGTTGAGCATGGGTGCAACTAGTTTTCTGAGGCTTGATTTACTTTGAGAGATGGCCGTAGTTGAGTAACCTGGCTTACCGCACCGGCGCCCAATATATCACATGCTTTAGCAATATCGTTTGGTTATGTATCGCATAATCTGCATTTTCCAGCGTATTCGCTGCGTTTGCCATGTATCGTGCCCATTCTATAAATTCATTTTTGTTCTCACTCTTGTTTCTCCGTATCAGGTGCTACGCCTTGTGCAGCTGCACTGGTGGGTTCAAGGTCCGTCCTGGGAATGCAAGCAGAAGAAGCTCGCTGCCGACATATGCCTCTACGTGAAGATAATCAAGACCGTTCGAAATTTCAGGCCGGCGCAAGGAAAATGGTATAGCGGATGACTGCTTCTAGTAAAAATACCTTTTTCAATTCTACTGGCTGTGGTGACAGCCCGGCTGGACATTGCCCACGCATGACATCTTGACAGATGGACGGTCTGCTGCAGAGCTACAACCGACAATGAGTAACCTGGGGAACGTTGACTGCATCATCATAATTAAACTATCTAGGCGCAGTCGCCCCGCTGAGATATAAAGCTCGCGCTTGGCAATGCGGCACGGCGAATGTCGTGGGGCAAGTTCACTCACGCTAGGCGGCCAACCTGAAGTATCGCAGTCGCACGCTTTGAGATGGGGTGCAATACGTACCACCGACTTCAACAATTATCTGGAGCATGCTTACCAAGAGCTAGATCCAAAAAAGGTCAGAACAATATTTGCCGTGTAGTCCAAAAGCTCAAAAATACTGACAAATCGCTGATAGTCGATCCTAACAGTGGCAGCGACCATGCCGGCGATTTGCAGGGACCATTGCCACTGGTGGCGAACATTCCTGCATACTTGCATGAAGACTCAGCAACTCTGAAAAGCTGCTCTCTCGTCTGCCGTACATGGCTGTCCACTGTGTTAGCGGTTCTTCTCTGCTGCGTTCGGTGGCCCTTCTGTGGACATTACTGGGGATACAAAGATATCCCTTACACTGATTGCAAGTGCCACGTTAAGAATACAGTCTTCGCTCATTTCATTCAAGCCCTCGAAAATGCACCGCGCGTATGCCGCTACGCCCGAGAGCTCCGTCTCTTGGGCCTTCGTCGATCTTTGACGAGCTCTGTCATGCCGCACCCTTCCGCGATCCTCGAGACAACCTTCTTCGAGCATTTTGTGCGCAGCATGGAGCTGCTCCCTGCCTTGCATTCTCTCGAGTTTGCCGATTGTCAGTTTCAGGGGGAAACTGCGCTGCAGCTGACCGGCAGAGAGTCGACTCGACTTTTCGGCAAGCTCGTATTCACAGCTACCCGTGACTGGACCACATCTCACGACTCCTGGTCTGGTACAGCGAGCTGGCTGAGTGGAATCAGGGATGTCGCCCAGTACTTCAACTCTATTCAGACACTCGCCTTCGACGTAAACGTCCTGGTTAGGATGAATAAGTCACAGCCGCTGCTCCCTTCAAACATTCCCCGACATCGCCCTCACGTCCATACACTAGAGTTCCTCAGCCGCTCCGACAGCCAGTTGTCACTCTCCTCTGGGTATCTCGGCTTCATCTCAAGCGTCATCGACAGCTCGCAACTCTCCCACTTGACCCTCGTCGCGATCCCCGAATTCTTTAGTCATCGTATACATTCTTTCCTCCGCTCCTTGCCCGCTCTAACTTCCTTAGCGTACACCATGCGAGGTTCATTTGTTCCAACAATACCCTCGACTCGACCACTGCTCACTCTCGGCGTCTCCGCTGAAGTGGATTGGCTTATCAAAGACGTGGACGGCCTCTCGAGTTGGCGCGGGATGTTCCGCTTTCTGCGTCAGACTGCCAGACCGAGCATCAAGCGCATCATTCTCCGTCTCGTGCTAACATCGGATATGCACTACCCTCCACGTGCGGGTCATCCCAGCCTGAGGGCCAGCGCGGCGGATCACTTCCGCCTCAGCCTCGAGAGACTGGAGTGGAACATGCTCGAGGAAGTCCACGTCCTGTGCGAAGGCTTGCAGGTAATCTCCATCGAGATCGTGACTTCAGATATCCGAAGGACTGGACGCTGGCACGCCCTCCTTAGCAAACATATTTGTGCTTCTATCGCTCGGGATATTTTGGAAGAGCAGCTCTCTGGTCCGACTCAGTCGCTAGTTGAACTCACAGTCACCTAAATACGATAAATCGCCGCCGTCCTCGCTATCGATTCGTACTAGACTCCTGGACTCTGAGATATATAATGTCCATTTGTTGCACGATGTGGATTTTGTAGTGCCGCCATGCACACGCTATAATTCCAAGGTATATACCTGACAAGCTACCTGTACATCCGGGGCGATTCATTATGTACCGACATCACCTTTAGAAATGGGACCAAAAATGACGTCGACGATCCGAACTGCAAGCGCGCGCGAAGTGCTGGGTTGCTATGGTAGCATCAAGAAAGAATTACGTAGGCAGAATCGGGGGAAAAGGTCAATTAAAAATCGAGGAAGTCGGCTATCGCAGGATGCGCAGTGCGAAGTCGTCGAATGCATCCAGATGGCATTCTTCACCAATCCTCCACGACGGTCTGTCGGTCCTGGAGGTCGTCTCAGGCACTAGTACTGGTGGAGGAGCGCACCAGAAAGATTTAGAGTCCGCCAATGCTGCGGTTTGATCAGTCACGGGCTTGTGACCAAATTAAAGCTGAGGCCCCCCTTGTTGTTGACCCCTCGTCAGCCCTCGCCTTCTGTTGCCGCAGCCTGCCTACCGCCTCTTTTCACGCCGTCGACGACCTGTAAACACACCTTGTACATTGACGAACGTTGAAAACAGCGAAAGGATGAGCGGAATCGCGATGCGGCAGTACCGTGACATACCTGCCGTAACGGGGTCCACCCCGGACTTGCAGAACTACTATGATTCCGATGTGCCTGTGAGATATACTTAAACCCATACCTTGATGTCGTCCTGGTGACACTCACCACTTCTTCCTCTTTGTTCGTTTTTTCCTGGTCCTCCAACCCACCCGGCTCTCTCTGCAGCCTCCGCACCGCCTGTCTGGCATCGACGATCCCTACGCTTCAACCACCCACCTTCCGCCCACACCCGACTCACGCGGCAACTACCTTCCGACTTCCTCTTCCACAGCAAACCTCAACATGGCTGACACGAGAGGTTTTAGCAACATGGACAACGGCGCAGGCTACGCGGGCGGCAACGGCCAGTGGCTCGAGAAGCAGCAGACCGGCAAAAGCAAGTCCAAGTGGATCGTGCGTGTCGTTGCCGTTTTCGAGTCTTTTTTTTAACCCACTGAATGCGTTATCTGTAGCTCATAGCCTCGCTCGTCGGCCTCGCCGGCCTCGTCGTTGCTGGTATTGTTATTGGCGTCGTTGTTTCGCGCAATCACAAGTCCAGTTCGAGCTCGAGCTCGAGCTTGAGCACAGGCACGAGCACGAACAGCAGCGGCACGCCCGCTGGTCCGACAGGCGTAGTCAATCAGACTGACCCCAACGATCCGTCGACGTTCGTCAAGGATCCGAACTTGAAACAATCCTTCTATGGCATTGCCTACACACCTGCGAACTCTCAGCTTCCGAACTGCGGAAACTCGCTATGTCAGTAATCAGTTCACTCCTCGCTTTGTCATGTCTGTATTGACGTCACGGGATAGCGGAGGTTATCGAAGATATTCAGGTGAGCATTGGGCAAGCTGAGGCTCTGGGCGGAAAGTGTGCGGATACGGCACGGAGAGCGTCAGTGCAAAACTTTGAACAGCACAAGTATATTTGTGGCACGCCGTCGTGGGTGCCTGGCGTGATCTAGCGACGCGCTCTCATTTGGGGGATGCGATATTCATAGACACGTCTTGATCCTTGCCTCCCAAAATATCAGAGCACCTCCACACTTCCGACGTAAGAATGACACTGACCATCATCTGCGCAGCTCCTCTCCCAGCTGACCTCGGTACGTCACTTGCTACTGTCCCAGAAGCCCTGTGTTTACCTCACACTGTAGCGTATCCGTCTATACGGAGCTGACTGCAATCAATCGGCCCTCGTCCTGGAGGCAATCAAGCAAACAAAGGTCAACATGACTGTCTGGCTCGCGAACTACAATGTCCCAACTGACGGAGGTACGGCGTACGAGCGCCAGCGTGGCGAAATCCAAGCAGCTCTTCAGACCTATGGTACCGACCACGTCGGTGGCGTTACCGTTGGTAATGAGTTCATATTAGAGTGCGTTATTCGCTCAGCGCTTCGTTGTTCTCCTGCTGAGCCTGGTCTCAAAGCTTCCTTTCCGCCAACGGAGGCGGCGATTCACCGAATGGTGCCGTTGGTAACGCGGGTGCTCAGCTCCTCATTCCCAACATTACCGACACCCGGAACATGCTCGCCAGCATGAACATCAACCTTCCCGTCGGTACTGCTGACGCAGGCAGTTACTTCAACAACGAGGTGCTCGAGGCTGTTGACTATGGCGTATGTGCACTCCCTTCTCGTCATTCCTGCTCAAACGCTGACGCCTGGTGTAGATGTCCAATGTTCACCCATGGTTTGCCAACGTCTCCATCGACCAAGCCGCAGGCTGGACATGGGACTTCTTCCAGACAGAGAACGTCGAGGTCGCGCAGAGCTTGACCAACAAGCCCAACATGTATATTGCTGAGACAGGCTGGCCGACCAACTCTACCGACGCTGGCAACGAAAGCAATGGCCCATCCAATGCGTCCGTTGCGAACCTGCAGTACTTCTTGGACACGTTCGTCTGCGCGTCAAACACTAATGGCACCGAATACTTCTTCTTCGAGGTGAGTTGTTGTTTTCGAAGTCCAGACGAGTGAGATGCTGACGATCTGCCATGGTCGCCCAGTACTTTGATGAGGTATGGAAGGTAAGGTTAACCTCTGAAGAAGTGTGCTCCATCGTCCCTGACGTTCTGCCCTTTCAGCTCATTGAGTTTGGTGGTGTTGAGGGCTATTGGGGTCTATTCTACGCGAAGTGCGTATCGTGTCCTGCTTGGCTACCATAGGCGCTTACCTCTTCTTCAGCAAAACCCTCAAACCTGTTACTATCCCGGATTGCACCACCTAGATGGATCTCAGACTTGTCATGGACAGTTTTTTTTTAATTCCTCTACTACGCAACTACACTGTACTCTCTGACACTTCCTCGCGGACGCATCTTTGACAGACCCTCACCGCAAGTATTTTCGGGTGTAGCTACCATTTTGGACATCGCTTTCACACCCTTCCGCTCTTTTACCATACCACTCTTTGCTCAGGGTTTGTACGGACGGTCTTTTGTTGCATCGCTAGCTGTTCGCTTTATTTCAATCTTTTCGTTCGTGTTCTATGGCTATGACGTGGCTGTTTATTATGGCAGAGCCCGGCGGGCCTCGCAAAGTGCGATGTGAAGTCTGTGCCTGTGCATGACCTTCCGCCGCCTGTGCATGTGCCTCTCAGTGCCTGAGGTGTTGCGCTGGCCTGTCGATTCTTCCGCTGTCCGCTGACCTTCCAGTGGCGCGACTACACTCCCTCTCGGTATTGCAGACCTCGGATGCTGATTCTCAGCGCTTCGTTTTGTCGTGGTTTTGGTTGGATTTGCAGGGATCGCTCAAGGTGAGTCTCGGCCAGTTCACTGTGCACGCGTTCTAAGCTGCGGTCCAAACCAACAGCCTTTGGGAGATATCAAGTGGCTGCCATGCATACTAGTGGCAGCCATTCGTATATCAAACTACCGGATAGTGAGCTGCTTCCGCTACATATATCTTGTCCGGTCGGGGACTTTTGACGAAGTATGCTCTCAAAGAAGGACTCCCCATCTCCATTTGAGGAATGCCTTGGCAGCCCAGGCCTTCTGCATGGACATTCAGGTGTCTGAGATGATTTCGACAACGAAGCACTTGTGGTCAAAGTCGCGCGCGAATCCGAGTATTTTCCTGACTGTTTGCCTCCGCACCGCCGCACCCTGGGGCCGACATATGGCCGCACGATATCGAAACCAAAGGCTCACGCCGTCTTGCATTCAGCTGATTGCGGCGAGGAAGACCCGGAGGGCATGCGGTCTATGTTGACGTCGCCCCGGCCTTCTATGCGAGTGAACAGGCGCCGCGGAAACAACGGCCCCTCGGATGCTTTGTGCGCGGTACATGGAAGATCGAAGCGCTGCACGTCCATCGTTCGGAAGTCTCGTTGGCTTGGCAAGGACGCAACCGAGTGTCCAACTGAGCACGCTCACGCGTCGTGCACCCAAATGCCGAGCATTTTAGCGATTTTACTCCCGCGTGCGACAGGATATGCTTGTCTGCTCGTGATGCAGCTTGCGTGGTGAGTACAAATGCGCGACAGTGAGGTCAGGAAGTCCTCAGCGAAATCGCCTACATTTGGATTCGCACCTAACCGCAGCAGCAATGTTGAAGCTCTCTATCTCGTTTGCGGCCCTTGCGGTCCTCCTACCGTTCGTCCAGGCTCAGTCGCCTGTCTGGGGTCAATGTAAGGCTGTAGTGGCTCTGGACGTGGACAGCATATAGCTGACTGTTCGCACAGGTGGTGGTATTGGCTGGACTGGCCCTACGACCTGCACGACTGGCAACGTTTGTCAGGAGTACAGTGCCTACTACTCTCAGTGTATCCCATCTGTAGGTCCTCTTTCCTCATGCGCTGACCGCGATTCTCACCGTTACATGTAGGGCCAAGCGACCTCCGTTTCCTCTGCCCCGTCCCCGCCGCCTTCGTCGCACTCTTCCACCTCCACCGCTCCGAGCGGCGCGTCGACCTCGTCTGCTAAGCTCAACCAGCTCGCCAAGTCGAAGGGAAAGCTCTACTTTGGCACTGCTACGGACAACAGCGAGCTTTCTGACACCGGGTACACTGCTATCCTCGATGACAACACGATGTTTGGCCAGATCACGCCCGCTAACAGTATGAAATGGGTCAGTATGCGATGCTGTTATCGGTAAAACGTATGCTCACCGGAGGTCGGTATGCTAGGACGCCACCGAGCCTGAGCAAGGTCAATTTACCTTCAGTGGTGGCGACCAGATTGCGAATCTCGCCAAATCGAACAGCATGCTCCTGCGTGGTATGTACACGGTAGTATCTGAGGGACCGCGATCTCTGACAGAATCAACTGCAACAGGGCACAACTGTGTCTGGTACAACCAGCTCCCGAGCTGGGTATCCAGCGGCAGCTTCACCGCGGCACAGCTCACGTCCATCATCCAAAACCACTGCTCTACTCTTGTTACTCACTACAAGGGTCAGGTCTACGCCTGGGACGTCGTGAATGAGCCGTTCAACGACGACGGTACCTGGCGTACAGACGTCTTCTACAATACCCTCGGCACCTCGTATGTCTCCATCGCGCTCAACGCCGCGCGCCAGGCGGACCCGAACGCGAAGCTGTACATCAATGAGTACAACATCGAGTACGTGGGCGCGAAGGCGACTTCGCTGCTGAACCTTGTGAAGACTCTCAAGTCGCAGAGCGTGCCACTTGACGGCATCGGGTTCCAGTGCCACTTCATCGTCGGCCAGGTCCCGACAGGCCTCCAGAGTCAGTTGTCGACGTTCGCGGCGCAGGGCGTCGAGGTCGCGATCACCGAGCTCGACATCCGCATGACACTGCCGTCGACGCCGGCGCTGCTTCAGCAGCAGAAGACGGACTACCAGAACACCATCGCGGCGTGCTCGGCCGTCGAGGCATGTGTGGGTGTCACGGTCTGGGACTGGACTGACAAGTACTCCTGGGTCCCCAACACCTTCTCTGGACAGGGCGCTGCTTGCCCTTGGGACCAGGTGAGTGCCAATCCTGTGTGCACCTGCTCAAGGCACCATTGTTGATCATTACTCTTCGCACAGAACTTCGCCAAGAAGCCAGCTTACGACGGTATTGCTATCGGCTTCGGCAACTAAGTGGAGCCGCGATTATTGCCTCCAGCTATTAGCTGTTCTTCCTAATGTTGTGTCGATATACGTCTACTCTCTCTTTGGGGCAATTCACATAATTTGACTGTTCAGAAGTGGCAACGATGAAATGGGCCGACCTGTGGAGCGAGAAGTACTAGTAGTAGCCCTGGTCGGAGGATTGGCCACGAAACTGGGACATCACGAAACCGCGGGATGCTAGTACCCGGTTGCAACGAAATTGTGCAGATTCGCGCATCTTTTGAATATCAACAGACACCTGTGTGATACAGCTTGATCCAACCTCAGATTGAATCCGTTTGCTCGAAGTTGCAGGAAGTTACCTTTCCGTTCAAGCGGACCTTGATCCGTGCCCTGGCCGGGCTGCGGGATAGCCCGGACCGTGCCAAACTGTCCCCCTCACGCGTCGCGAGCGGCGGCTCTGTGTCGCCCATCGTCACTGCTCACATTCCTTACAACCTCCCACCCGACATCCAGAGGCTCCATCTCTAACCAAGCGTCTTGTACCATCACCATACGGCAGGGTGCTGACTTGACTTTTACTGGCTTGTAAGGCCTGCGGTTGGAACGTTGGCGATGAAGGCAAATCTCCGAGTAAGATTCCTCGTCTCCGCGTGCATAGCTTACCCATTCTTCCTCTTTCTCTCTTCTGCATTGCAGAGAAAATATGCATCAGAAGTGTATTCCAGAAGAACTCGGTAGCCGACACCTCGCACACGAACTGCGATGTCCTGGCAGTAGACGTCCTCACTCGTATCAGCGAGAAGTGGCATAGCAGCTGCCGACTTTTCTCCCGTGCTTCCATCTCTACGCTGAACAAGCCATGTAAGCATAATTATGACCGCCATTCACGCGCATTCCGCTCATGTGTTCGGGATTTCAGCGACAATACTCCCGAGGATTGGATTTTGGTGAAAGCGTACTTATACGTTGAATCCCGGGATGTCATCTCTTCAGGACAGGCTATCAACTGCCCCAGCTATCTAGTGCAAATATGTTAAGACTTGCTATACCTTTCTTAGCCCTCGCAGCCCTCGTCTCCGCTGTTTTCGCCCAGTCGTCTGTGTGGGGCCAATGTGAGCATATTTCTTGTCCTGTTGGATACTAATAACAACGTATTCCTGACAGGCGGCGGGATTGGCTGGACTGGCCCCACGGCTTGTACGACTGGTAATGTTTGCCAGGCGTACAGTCAGTATTATTCTCAGTGCATCCCTTCCGTAAGTTCCGTTGCCAACCTGAGAGCATAATATTAATCCTTCTGAAGGGCCAGGCCACATCTGTTTCCTCTGCTCCAGTCTCTTCTTCGCCAACAACAACTGCGAGTGCCCCGGCCTCCACGTCGACTGCGAAGCTCCATCAGCTCGCAAAGTCGCAGGGCAAGCTGTACTTCGGCACAGCTACTGACAACCCTGAGCTTACGGATACAGCCTACGATGCAATTCTGGACGATGGCATGATGTTCGGTCAGATAACTCCCGGAAACTCAATGAAATGGGTATATTTTTAATGTCGTTTGGCGAACCGCATGCTAATCGGCTCTATTGTTTAGGATGCTACCGAGCCTGAGCAAGGCGTGTTCAGCTGGACCGGTGCTGATCAAATTGTCAACCTTGCTCAGCAAAACGGCCAAATCCTTCGTGGTAAGTTTTAACATGTATGGACACGCGGATCCAGTCTCTTAATACCTTACCCAGGACACAATTGTGTCTGGTATAACCAGCTCCCGAGCTGGGTGTCCAGCGGCAACTTCACCGCGGCACAGCTCACGTCCATCATTCAAAACCACTGCTCTACCCTCGTAGGTCACTACCAGGGTCAGATCTACAGCTGGGACGTCGTCAATGAGCCCTTCAACGATGATGGCACCTGGCGCCAGGACGTCTTCTACGACACTCTTGGAACCTCGTATGTCTCCATTGCGCTTAAAGCCGCACGCTCAGCCGATCCGAATGCGAAGCTGTACATCAACGAGTACAACATCGAATATGCAGGCCCAAAGGCAACAGCTCTGCTGAGTCTCGTGCAAACACTGCAGTCGCAAAGCGTACCGCTGGACGGCATCGGATTCCAATGCCACTTCATCCTTGGCGAAGTCCCGACGGATCTACAGACGCAGTTGTCGACGTTCGCGGCGCAAGGTGTCGAGGTTGCCATCACCGAACTCGACATCCGCATGACACTGCCTTCGACGCCGGCATTGCTTCAGCAGCAGAAGACAGACTACCAGAACGTCATCGCGGCGTGTATGGGTGTCGAGGCCTGCGTCGGCATGACCATCTGGGACTGGACCGACAAATATTCTTGGGTCCCATCAACTTTTTCCGGTCAGGGTGCTGCTTGCCCGTGGGACGAGGTGAGCGCATTTGTAGTTATCGATCCTATACTCCATCTGATAACGTGCCATCCTCGTAAGAATCTCGTCAGGAAACCAGCCTACGACGGGATTGCCATCGGCTTGGGTAATTAGATGCATGCTTCTTCGCATCTGCGGCAGATATATGAAGTCCACTGAAGGTGTACCGTACTGAGTTACCAGATGTCACATGTTTCTTGGGAGCTGTACCCACGTCGCACCTGATTACGAGCAAAATGAGTCTCGAGCGTATTAATCTGCGACCATTGAGCGCTACTTCTGCCTTCTCCCTTCGACCTTCACCGCCACTATCGCCGCAGGTTTTGCTGTCGCTCCTTCACCAGAGACACGTATATTGTGTGACGGTCTGCTGCCGCCGCCTAGCAACCCCGCGAATACTCTGTTCACCACCCTGGTCATCTCTCGCTTTCCTTGACTATCATTTCTTTGTCCCTGAAGGTACGTTTCGCAGCATGTCTGCAGTCGCCGATACTTATGTGGCGATTCGTACTTAGCACCTACAGAACAATGCCCGAGCAGCGGAGCGATGACGCTAGCAACACTCTACAAGCTGTTGTCCGGCGTATCCGGCACCTCCTTCCTTCGTTCGGAAGTGGCAGGACTGTACCAGCTCTCCCGCAGGAGCTAGTAGATCACATCATCGACTGTCTTCGCAAAGACAAGGAGACGCTTCGAAACTGCTCGCTTGTACGCCGCGCATGGCTCTCATCCAGCTCCTTCCATCTCTTTAGCCGTTTGTGTTGGCCACCCTGTGATCACGCGGCAGACATCTGTCAGACTTTCTTTGGGGAGCAGAAGCTTCGCAGCTGTCGCTGCGCACTTGTGACGGACCCGAAGAACCTTCAAGAGCTGCTATTATTTCTTCAGTCTTCGCCTCGCATTTGCAGCAGTATCCGAGATCTTTCCATACGTTTTGCATGGGGCGAAGCAGAGTTGCCCTTCGCGTTGCGTCACCGGGTCTTGACAACGCCGAGCGAACTGGCGCACCTAGTTGGCATCTTGCCTGCTCTTCGCTGTTTGCGCTTATACGAACCACGATTCCATCCGGACGCCTCGCCCTTCCCGGACAGCACGCTCTCAACCACGCGCGATCTTGACAGGCTTGTACTCTCCGGCATCAAGGAGGAAGGGAGACACGAACATTTCTCTTCCTTCCTTTCATATTTCCGTCGCATCCATACCCTCGAACTAGCCGATTTCCGCTACTGTCCGCTCGTCTGTGCTCCTGTCTGCAATGCGAACGGTCAGATGACATCTGTCGACTCCCTCCAGCTTCATCCTCGCTCTCTTGATGGCATTCGTGGGCTTGAACAGCTGAGGCAGATAATAGATTTAACGTCTCTGTCTTCCTTAAGTCTCCTGTACGACTGGCGCATCGTTCCGGAGAGCGGGATATGTGCCCTTCTCCAGAACACGGACAACCTCGAGTCCATTACCTGCAACAATCACAGCAAAGAAGTGATCATACGCCATCCTCATCCTTGTCCCACTGTCCATCGGCTTCGTTTCTATGGCTCTTCCATGTTTGATGGTAGAACTGTGACGTACCACGACTGGCCAGGGGTGGTGCAAATCATGGGCTGTCCGCTCGCCGCCTCGGTCAATCACTACACCATCGATTTCACAATCTTACATATATCCCAGGATTTCCGAGTCCCAGACGATAACGAAGCCGAAGCCGAATCGAAGGCTGCCTTGGAGTTTCTCGATTGGAGTATCCTGGACACTTTTACCCCTCGGCTAACTTCTCTGTCGCTCAACATGACCGTTGAGTTCGCGCACGGCAGATCTAGGACTGGACGTGAATGGAGCTGCTCTGTGGAAGAGCTCATCCTTGGCTTGGTCTCCCGACCTGTGCGCGACATCTTGACGCTCCGAGTGCAAGTTCTCAACACTTTCCTCGAGGGCCACGGTGCGTCATAATACGTGTCTGCTTGCTATTAGAAGCTGATTTTTGGCATAAGAACTTCGCTAGAATTCTGCTACACCTTAAATCTGTATCAGTCAAGTGCTTAAATTGCTTGCTTTCATTTGCGGTGCAGGGTCGCCGGTAGCTCTTACGTTCTTCAACTTCACTAAAGTAATTGTCACGACGAGTACTTTCGCCTGCGCCATAATGCATTCGCACTATGCAACCCGTTAAATTGTTATAGTTTAGCGAGGGATTTAAACTGTTATTTGAAATCAACGTGCTCTTTCAACTGCCTAGCCATGCGGTGCGGTCAAGGTCTCGCGCGCCAAAGTTCGACCTTTGCCAGCAACCACTCTCAGCGATCATCACAAACCACGGTTCGTCCCAAGGTCAACTGCAGAATGACGCAGAATATTTACCATAGGCATAAAATGCGCATAGCGTGTGGGATACTGCGCACATCGGCCGCCATGGCTACCTCAGTCCCAACGGTCCCGGTCGAACTTACGGACCACATCATCGACTATCTGCACGACGACAAGCAGAGTCTTCGCAGCTGCTCGCTTGTATGTCGGTTGTGGATGCCGGCCAGTTCTTTCCATCTCTTCTGGCGCATGAAGTGGCCCCCATGCACGCACGCGTTAGACCAGCGACCTGGAGATTGGGAAATTGTCTCGAACTGCCGATGTGCACTCGCGGACGGCCCAGAGGGCTTGACGGGCTTTCTGCAGCTCCTTCGAAGCGTGCCTCGCATTCACGCCCACGTACGGGAGCTTCATATCCGCTTCTCATGGTTCGGGATGCCGACGCCAGCCCCTATAATCCAGGGTAGCGACCACTTGTCGGACGTTCACCATCCTGATTCCTTTGGGCTTCTTGGCGTTGATATTTCCGGCTTCGAACCAGGACGCTACGTCCGGTATCATCATGTCGTCAAAACGACGCCAGCGGGGCTGATGGACATAGTAAACGTCCTCCCCGCCCTTCAATGCTTGGATCTTCACGGAGATCCATTCGACCCGGCGCTGCCAAGTCCGCCACACCACTCGGTTCAGGCTTCACGAGATCTTGACAACCTTTGCTTGTCAGGTCTTCAAGAGGACACGGGCTACGAGCAGCTGTCGCAGTTCCTGCAGTGCTTCCAACGCATTCGTGTCCTGGCACTGGACGACCTCAGCTGGAACCATCTGTCCACTCCGGGAATACACGTCTCGGGTCCCTTTCCCTCTGTTAACACCCTGAAACTGGATGAAAATGCACTTTCGGCCTACTGGATCTCCGCTTTTGCTTCCATGCTGGACCTCAGATCGCTTTTTGTACTGAATATTTGGGACACTGCGATAACCTGGGACGGTCTCAGGGCGACGCATGACCTCGTTAGCCGCTGTACGAGCCTCACAGCCCTCACCTGCTCTTGCTTCAATACCATAGTCATCACGCAATGTCCCTTCCCGTGTTCGACGCTCCGCCTCCTGCATTTCCGCGGCGAATGCACCTTCAATGGGCTTCTCGAGACTACCGAATCTCCCTGGCGAGGCATAGCAGAGGTAATGGGCTCCCCCTTAACCATTTCTGTCAACGAGCTCGTTGTCGATTTCACGATCGTCGAATCGACCGGCCGCAACCGGCTGCCAGTGAGCGACAAAGTGGCTGAGTCTCGCTTGAAGGACACGTTGGCGTCCCTCGGATGGCGGCTCCTTGACGATCTCCTCCCAAGGCTCCGATCACTGAATTCTCCGTAGACCTCTTACGCCCGGTAGGAGACGGACATCGCTGGCGGTCGCTGATACAGCGGCTGGTCCTGGATCTTGTCTCCCCCCGTGTCCGTCAGATTATGCGGTTACCCGTGGATGTCCAGGTCTCTACCATGCCTCACTGTCTTGATATATTCCCTTCTGCTGTCACCGGTGAGCTTATCGGCTAGAAATATCGGGCGCCTGAGCAATGTCAATACAATATCATGTTTAACCGTGATTCTGATTGTGTCGACTCCGGGACCAATGGCTCCTAGAATCGCCCCTTGAATCACGTACTTAGAATGCCTCTGATAGCGCCGCAGTCATCTCACCTCACCTTACCCTCCGCAAGGCTTTCAAGTGAGTGATCAGAACGATGTGTGGTCACGTAAGGGTGCCCGGCCACATGTCAAGCAAGCGTAATAAGAGTCCGTGAATTAAGACAAGCGTGCTAATGCGTACACCATGAATAGTCATTGCTCGTAACGATTCGTTCAAATTCCATAGCTAGATAGAATATTGTGTCCGTGGAAAACAAGATAGTGGAGGCAGGAAAAAGGAAGCTCAACGACAGCGGGGTGGGAGAGAGTATCGCAGGTTACGGGTATTATAAAGCACATCCTCGAAACCCCAAGAAAGAGCTCGCATCTAAATGCGCGGGAGGATTGATACGATGATGATGACGATGGATGTGAGCAGAAGGAAGAAACGGTTGGAGGGTATAAGGAAGCAGAAAATCGAAGCGCTCGAAGACGTCTAGGAGTACAGTAAGGAAGCGAAAAGGGGAAGACGAGCTGGCCACGGTGGTCACCCGGCACCAGGCCGCGACTGGGGTTGAGTAGACGTCCGTTTGTGTTTCTTGAGCACTCTCGGATGTGACTCGTCATCAGACGGCGGGGCGTTTGCCGGTGGCGGGCGCCCGCGCGACGTCCGCGACGGCAGGGTGCGACTCCGGGAGACGGTGACGACGCTCTCGCCGCGTGACGGCGGTGTCGTCGATTCGTACACTGGGGCAAGACTATCCGCTTCGCGCATGCGTCCGCCGGGCGTTGCTTCTGTTGCCGGAGGGCTCGGGCTCAGCATTCCGTCTACGCTTGTGCTGCACTTCACGCTTTCGGGAAACGGACTCACCGCCTGGCCGTTCCGACGTCGTGCGCCGCCGCGTTACTCGCCCCGCCTGGCTTGCCGTCCATGAGTCGTCGGCATCTGTGATCATCATGTCGACGGGTTCGACGCCCGTCGGTGCCACCCTCCTGGAGCTCCCGCTTCCCGAAGGCGATATATCGAGCATAAACCAGTCCTGGTGTTCGATCAGGAATTCCAGAACATCCTGGCTCAGCTGGTGCTCCGGTGGCGACAACTCGTGCGAAGGATGTGAGAGAAGAGCAGGGCGGAAGATGACCGCTAAGTCTGGTCAAGTCAGCTGGAGGAGCGCATACGACGAACGCAGGGCGTACTTTTTGCGGTCATGAGGTTTTTGTCAGCTTTTCGAGCAAAGACGGACAACAGGTCTAGCACGTATAGGAGCAGATATTTGTTGTCGTCTGGTAGCATGCGAATGAGTCTTTTGTAACGATGAATTGCTTCGTCACGGTTGAACGGCTTCTTTGCTAGCACGCTAAGGAGGTCAGTGGCAGTTGCCTATATGAGGACACGCTACACACCTAGCGCATCCCGAAACTAACCGGACGTGAGCAAGATTGACAAGGTTCAAGTAGCGCTGGGACTTACTGGATGGTACAGATCGTGTGGTATTACTGGCTCCTGTGAAGGAATGAGTGCAAGTCGCGCTCGCGTTGAGACTTCGTGCATACCGACATCTGGGTGAGATACCGCCGGAATACGCTTGCGACATCATGGGGAGTGTAATGCTCATTCTTCCAGTCCAAGTCTTTGCCATACTGCATAGGCGGAGTTAGTGATGAACCACAGCCTTCGTGCGGCTACGCACTCTTGGAGGTGTCTCAAACGCCGCTTGCAGCTCTCGCATGCGCTTGTTCGACCCGTTCACCCGGAACGTTCCTGCGAGCTCGGTAGCTAGTAGCGATGGAATGTTGATCATGAGTTATCACAAGATTCACAATGAAACTCTATTTGCGCACCATTCTCCTTCAAGTATAACCCACTAAACAAAGATTAACACAGATAGAGAAGACTAGGTAAGGGGACGTACCATTTCGCTACGACGACCGGAATGTGACCCCAGACATAGAGCTCCCCTCCTGTCCCTGCCGTTGATATTTGCACATTCGCCCGCTTGAGACTGTCGCGTAGTGGTCTGCCGAAGATGGCGCTTGGTGGATGCACATCTGCTAGGAGGTTAAGCTCAGCGCGCGGAGAGTCCTCGAGGTCATCTAAAGAGCAGTGCTCACCCTTCTTGGCCTCTGCGTCCCGCTTCGTACGCTGCGCAAAGGCAAAATGGCTCCACCAAGTCTTGAGGCCCGCCCTTGTAGGCGGAATGTGAGGTTGATGAGTCTCGCTGACGGTCGCTGAGGTCATGAGTCTGTGGTGGCTTGGGCCTTGCGGGGTCGGGCTGGTGTGGGTGAGACTTTGAGGATCGTGGGGCCTGTTGGTGATCTCGGTGCGTGCCGAGGTGGTTATGTCCTGAGGCTCAACGCCAACGGTGTTCGCACGGGGGCGAGAGGCGCGATCGCGGTTCTTGCCTCGCTTGCTGTTCGTTCGACGGTGGCCAAATGGCTGGAGGTGCTTCCACATACACTTCTGGAGTCGTCCCCGCGTCAGGTGCCAATGAAATACCCGCCGAAAGGCTGTAACGCACTGATATACAGACGTCAGAACACAGCTTCGGCCGGTGTGCAGGCGCCTCGCCGCGTGACTTTTCCAAGGGCCGTTTTCCAGAGGTGTTCAGCACTCGAGATGCGCGGTACGGGGTGCAGGAGCAGGACAGTCCCGGGCGGAGAGAGCAGAGAAGTAAGTCATGCAACAAAAACAAGAATTCGTCGGAAACTCGTGTATCTGCGGCGTGGTGATGGCTGTACGAGATCAAGCAAGTCCAAAGGCTCCCTTTAGGCCATCCCCGCTTCAACGCTAGCCTTTTCTTCCTCGACATCCTCATCACGTAGATTCACATGCATGGAATCGGTGGATCCCAGCTGTGCTTCGCATCCACCTATTCACGAATGGCAGGCACGTAGGTTGAGAATCCCACACATATAAAGTTATAAACGCCCTCGAAATTCCTCCAAGCGCTATCCAAGTTATTCGTAAACATATAGGGCACACACGAACGTGCAGCCCTGAGCTGGCACGGGCGACCTCAAGCTCAGGGCTGCGTGCACCAGCGGGTCTGGTAACCCTATAGCAACAGCAACGGCGTGGTCGCACCACCGGCCTCACTGTACGCCCTGTCTCATCAACCCCAACAACGCAACTTATCATTAAGCTTAAGGTTGTTGATATGGTATCGCTTGCCTAGTCCTGAACGACTCCAAACAATGGGCTGCCAGCACGATTGCCAGCCTTACAACACTCATGAAAGCCTGCGGTGCGGAGAAGTCTGCCCGCAGCCTCTCCTTGGCGAACCATGATTCCCGTACGTCGACGTCATTGCCGCCATCAGCTAGGGTTAGCCACAAGGGTTCTCGGAACACACTCGCGTAATGCTCAGGCCGGGATAAATATTTCTTCTCTTCCACACCTTCCCCTACCTCTTTATACCTTAGTCCATCCTCGCGAGGCCTCCTGCATGATCTTGCGTGCATGCACGGTGTGGTCAACGCTTCGCGCTTTCCCCGTTGAAGCTCAACTCGAGCGGGAAGTATATGGCATTCACGTTCATTTCATCATATCTAATATGTGAGATGACTGTATGACTATTGTGGACCTCACGTCAATCTGTATAGGCGTAGCGCGTGCTTATATATCCGGTGGTGCTCACGCCGGGCCTCCTTGTGCACAGAAATCCATAGCGGTTTCCGCACAACGAGGGAGTGCGGCCAAATTGCACCGCACGTTCGTGGTCGTCATCAATCATGCCCCGGATAGCCTCATGCCTCATCAACCTCGCAGTTCAGGGTTGCTGGTAGTAAAGCAGGAGCTGCCACATTGCGCAGAAAGCACCGGCCAAGGACAACCGTGAGCCCGGCCGGTCTCCATGTTTAGCACCAAAATACTTTACACACCCTCCGGTGGCGGTCTTGTTGTGAGTTGTACCAAAAGACAAGTCTGAAAACAAATGTAAGTCGCATACGTGTAGACATTCAAAGGAAAGGACGATAAGTCAGGAACGACTACCATGCGTTAGTCATCAACTTTGTGGCGCTCTGATGGTCAAGAATCTGAAATACAACACGAGCCAGCGAGTTCCATACACGATGCAGAAAAGAGACGACCAACCCATACAAGTAACATGTAATTTAATGCACAATAAAAATAAGTTAAATCAAGTGATCAAATAGCTCGCGGCCGCGTCAGTCTGAGGTCCTGCTGTCGAGCAGCGGCCACGCCTCCTGGGTCTCCGGACAGTAGCGTTCAGAGTGCTCTCTCCTCTTTGGGTGCCTGCCACTTGGCAGGGACCGGCAAATCTCGAAGGTAGTCTTGCCCTGGGCGTCGCGCGCGATGGTGCACAGCGGGTCCGGAAATCCTCCGGACCCCTCGAACGCGAGCGACCTGAGCGTCGGGCAGTACGCCGCGAAGAGCGGGAGCAGCGTCTCGAGCTCATCGAAGTCTGCGTCGACGGTGTCGTGCACACAGCCCTCCCCGCAGAAGCCGCCCTCGAAGTGGAGCATCACTGCGGGTGACGCGGTGCCCTCGATGCGGTAGTTCCAGCCGAAGTGCTCAAGCCGGCTGAAGCGCGCGAGGCACGCGGCGTACTCCCATGAGCTGCAGGGCCAGCTCGCCTCGCGCAGTCGCTGCTGGAGCGGGCTCTCGCGGTAGGAGAGCGTTAGGCCAAAGAGCTCCGGGAAGGCCTCTGCGATGTACTCGATGAGATGGGTGTGTGCACAGTCGATGCCTTTGAGGACAAGCAGCCGGAGCGGAGCGCGCTGGAGGGCATAAATGAGTGCAAAGGTTTCAAACTCAGGGAGTCCGTCGCTGAAATGGAGGTTGACATGCGTCAGGTGCAGTTCCGGGGCGCTGTGCAGGAGCATAACGAGCTTCCAGGGCTCGTCATCGTCTGCTACGTTCGTCTTATCTAGTCCCTCGATCTGTAGGCGCTGCAGGGTGGCAAAGGGAGCGGTGCGGGCAATGACGGTGTCTGACGGCAAACTATACACGTAGTCCGCGCCCTTGACGCATAGCCAGCGGAGTGATGGGAGGTAGTGAAGGATTTCCCAATGGTTGTGAGCACCGTGAGGTACGAGCACACTGTAGCATTTGAGCATGAGGTGCTCCAGCCTTGCAGGCAAGTTCCGCGGCTCGCGATCCCCAAAGTCGACCGTGCAGTCTATTATAGCAAGATATGAAAGACCAGGAAGCGCGAAGATTGCTTCCGCCAGCTCGACGGTCAAGACAATATTCTCGAGCGTGAGCTTCGTCACGCCCGGAGTCTTGACAGCGACGTCGCGCATTCGGCCGATGATAAGCTTGTCCAGATTATTGACGTCCTCGGGAGAACCCCAAAGTGTTCGACGAAGGTCTGTGGTCCCCCAGGTACTGAGGGTGAGATGGTGGATGTTCTGCGCGATGTCTGGGCGGGCGCATATCAGGTCCGCATTCCGAAAGAATCTCTCGCACTCTGCGACGGCCCTGCTGCGCATATTCTCACATCGTTCCTTATCTGAAAGCTTAGTCATTTGCGCCGTGTGTAATAGGCGGAGTGAGGCGTCAAGGCCGACCGTGCGTTCCTGACACGTATGTTAGCACTATAGGGGCAGCCACACAACTGCAGAGACCGACCTCGTTCATATTTTGCCAACAAATCTTGCGCAGTAGCTTACAAGTCGAGCCAAGGTTGCGGAGCTCTCTCGGATTCGCGCATTGAACAATATCACGAAGGAGCTCGTTCGGCAGATTCATAAGGCACAGGCGTTGGAATATCGGGAGACGATTAACTTCAATGCACTTCGACACGCTGTCTAACAAAGCAGCTGGGTGAGCAACTTCACAAAACGATACAAGTCTCCCGTGACATACGAGCTAGGTTGATGTATAAAACCACGTTATGCATGCGAAGCCGCTATCTCTTCTCGAACGTCTTGACGGCGCCTCGATCAGTGACTATAGCGAAGAGAGCGGGCCCGTCCCCATCGTATAGTGAGATCTCCACGATTTTTGAGCCCTCAGGGACATCCTGGTCTATAATCAATTGGACTCCGTTGAAAGCAGCTGAAAGGTCCTTCGAGAAATAGGACCATCTGCTCAAGACCGAGCTATATCTGTCCATGTGACGACCACTCAAGTCCAAGCAGCCCCAGATCCGTTATGTTCAATGTCTAAATAACTGTGAACAACAACCTCGTACAATGTGAAAGCCCTTGATGGTGTCGCAAAATCGCATGAAGCGATATGGCACTCCTCGAGCGGCGTATTCTTCCCTTTGCAGGGCGTCGGGCGGTATATGCGGCTTGGCGAACTTGTATCTTTTGGCCAAATAACTGCTCCACTCCTCTTCTTGATACAGTCGGAGGTGAATTTGGGGCCTTTTCGAGTCTAAGTTGGAGCGTATGAGCTTGAACTCCGCAAAAGCACGGGGTGAACCATGTGCGTTGAATAAACGATTCATACCGAACCGAGGTCTCCCAAGTTTCCCAAACTTTCGCTTCGTCTCCTTCGCGGCGACAACGATTCTATCGTCCTCTGAGTCCATGTTCCTTTGGTGTGAGGGAGGAGAACAAGACGACAAACAGCAGGCCTCCGCCAACCCCAGCCGTAGTTTGTGCTTGATCGAGTGCCGGCCCGGGGGCCGCAGGAGTCAGTACTTCGAGTGTTTCATGTTTCGCTGGTACCGCGAAGATAAATCTCATTAGACAGTGCCACTCCATACGAACACGCATAATAGTCCAGGTGGAAGTAAAAGTGTAAGAGAGGATCCGATAAGATTAGATCGAGCCACCAAGTACTGTACCGCGCGCGACATCCTCCGCGTCAAAGTCGTTGCAAATTGTGAAGGAAAATCTACTGTGATATTCACAGTCTATTCTTCTTTAACAGCTGCGATCTCCAAGAAGAAAAGAAGAGATAAGGTAAGTGAGAGAAACTCCAGCTGTCAACCCATCAGCATAGTGACGCATTACTGAACGGGGCCCACACTAGAAATCCGAAGGTTTGCTACCCACGTCGCACCCACGTCGCACGGTGACGTCGACCTCCCACGAGCACACATGCTTGAATTCAGCCGGGATGTGGTCATATATACAAGGACTTGCAGCTGTCAGTCACTAGTTGAATCTTGTACACCACGTATTGAAGTCGACGTTAGGCCCTTCGTGATATCACGCAACATGACCTCTTCTCAGGATTTCTTGCTGCCTCAGCCTCAGCCTGACCAGGCGTACGTCGAGGTCTCCGCGCTGGAAGCTGGTATGATTGACCTTCCCTTCATCCACATTGTCCAAGGCGCGGGTCCGGAGGAGGTCTACAGATGCCCATCACTCGCCTTCTCCATCGTCCACAAGCCCTCTGGCACGCATCTGGTTTTCGATCTGGGCTTACGTCGCGATGTCGAGGCCTATCCTCCCCCGGTCCATGCCATCATTGAAGCCTTTCCCTTCACCGTGCCCCAGAGCGCCGAAGAGTCGCTCGAGGCAGGCGGCATTCTCCCGGAGGCGGTGCAGACCGTCATCCTTAGCCACTTACACCATGATCAGTGAGCACAACCCACTGCTCGACTTATATGTCAATTTTGTTGACTGCTTGACTCTGCCGATTGTAGCGTCGGTAATCCCGATGCGTTCCCAAATGCGACTTTCATCGTCGGCCCAGGCAACCGGGAGCTCATCGAATCTGGGTATCCCACCGACCCAAAGTCAGCCATCTGGCAATCGACCCCAGTCGAACGCACGCGCTTCCTATCGTCATCAGACTTCTCGATGTCTGTCGGCCCCTTTCCTCGTACGTACGACTACTTCGGGGACGGCAGCCTCTATCTTGTGGACGCGCCGGGCCATGTCGACGGGCACATCAACGTCCTGGCGCGCACGTCGCGCGACGGTTCGTGGATCTTCCTCGCTGGCGACTCCGCGCACGACACGCGTCTGCTCACTGGCGAGAAAGAGGTTGCGTTCAATCCAGACGCGAGCGGACTCTTGCGCTGCGTGCATGTGCACAAGGACATTGCCATCGAGCATATCCGTAGGGTGGGCTCGCTGCTCAAGGTCCCGAAGGTCCATGTCGTGCTCGCGCATGATAAGGAGTGGTATGAGAAGAACAAAGGCGGCGGTGCGTTCTTACCTGGAATCATTCCGCCCGCGTAGCGTATGGTGAGCAGCCTGCCGATTGTTTTGATTTGACGGCAAAGGCTAAGAGGGCTCCGCAGTAACTCAGTACGTACAGCTACAGTTGGCTCTCTCAGTAAGTTTACGCGACCCGGACGGATTTCTGGGCGAAATCGAGATAGTCGCTGGAGAGTACTACTAAGTGGCGCAACTGACGCTTCGGCACCGGTACCGCGGTCGCATTGCAGGCCGGAAAATAAGGTATTTGTACGACACTCAGTACATCTATCCCGTTTTGTTCGATATTCCGCTACTTCTGAGTTCGCGTTTCTTCAGTTACCTTCTCAGGTTCGATGCCTGCTGTCCTGAGTCGCCGCACGACATGGCCTGAAGTGTGCCAGGGAACTTCACTGAGCGCTCATCGTTTGCGCCGCGGTGGAGTCCTGGAGAGTCCTAACCCGTGGTCATGTGCAGGATGACTCTACAAGGTCGTGCAGCGACGGCAGCGCCGCACAGCAATGAAAGCTTAGCGATAAGTCGGCTTCTTTGTATCCCCGGGCTCAGACGACGCGAAACGGTCGCGAAGGCTAAGCGACACGCTGTAGGCGTCGCCTCGTCCCGCTCCCTTCTACTAGTGTGCTCTGTTACGGCAATCGCGCTATGTGTGGCAGGAAGCTCTGCTTGGTCGCGGCCGATGATTGTCTACCACGCGCTACTAATTGGCGTATAAGTATCCGGAGGTCCTACTCTGTGCGCTGAGGGATCCGCTCTTGCCCCCATCCTCACATCGTCCGTCGTAGCACGTTTCGCTGAATTTGGCCGCAATGGTCAACTGGGAAAGCCCAGAGGTCATCAATGAATGCCTTCAGGTTGCGCATAACTTCAACATGTACTTTGCCGGGATCTTCACGTTGAGTCATCCCAGTGCTTGTCCTATACTAGCTGACGTCGATGTTGGGCCTCAACCAGATGGTACTTCATCACCACATTCAAACTTCTAGAGTGGCAGCTGTTGACGCGGAAACTAAAGTGGAAGTGGTCATACGTGAGTTTTCGCCTCCGCAGAACACTAACGACAACTTAGGCGCAGCATCTAGGTGTATTACCTTGGAGCGCGATATTTCTTGCTTGGCATACGACTACCTTTGTGAGCTCATCCTCATAAGTCACATGCTGCCTTGTTTTAACTTGTAGACAGACATGAAGTGCTGCAGCCTGGTAAGCGTGGCGTACACAATGAAGAACGCCGAACTAATAATTTGTTAGTCGCCACGAAGATTCTAGGTGTTCGTGCTTCTTACATGTTTGGGTGTCTCGCGGGCTACTGAACAGCCTTTGTAGATAGGAGGCCCCGTAATCTGCATCTTTGCAAGTGGGAATCTTCTCTTCAGGGTGTAAGGCCTTGCCATGCTTCAGCTGGCAACTACAGGATGTGCTCACCAGCACGATAGGACAGCAATATGGAGAGAAAGCCGTATTGTCGTCATGTTCCTTGTCCTACTCGGTATAGGACACTGGGTCGTGTTATTTACGGGTACTAAGACCCTGCTTTTGACCAGCCGGCAGCACACTGAATTTTCCGTCGTGATATAGTGATAGTGCCCCCAGTGATTCGTGGCAGCCATGGCAATTCGACTCGGAACGGGAGCCCTGACGTAAAAATGAAGATCAACATCAACGCTTCCATGCCTTTCTTTCTCTACAGTGCGTCTCTCATTCAAATCCCATGACGTGGTAGAGTGCGCTGATGGAATGGCGCGAAGCATTCTTGATGGAACTGCTCATCGTTATCATGACGGTCGTTGGGCTGTCAACGCGCCGCGCCGCGCGTGCATCGCAGTTGTGGAAGATGTTGTATCGCCAAGGGATCTTGTACTACCTCGTGACGCTCGTCTTCCAGACTCCCACTATCGTGCGTCCCAACCCTTACTCTGTCTTTCCCCCCCGCTGACCCTCTTCATGCCAGATTCTTGCGTGGTACACAGTAAGCGGTGCGCCTGAGCCCCTTCCGCTCTCGAGTACAGCTAACACGGAGCGAACAGGATGCGTACTCGGCGTCTTCAGCAGTCCAGGGCTTGTTGCCAGCGTCATAGCATCATGCTCCGCCGTGACCTCGCTCCTCGCCCTACCGGGCGCAACAGTACCTGAGGGGTAAGCTGCCCTTTCGGCTCAAGCGTCCTGTCCGCTCCATCTCATGCTCATGACGTTCTTGCTCCGCACTGTCGCGACTATAGCGGATCAACTGTCTGCGAGAAGGCTAACGTCGGCAAATCGCCGCCCGCGCGTGGATCCCAGCTGCTAACCACGAACATCAACTTGCCCATGTGCGTGTGTCTATTGTTGTTCCCTCCGCCGCTTTGACTGACTGACTCGCGCGCACTCATGCCTATCTCTGACGCGCAGAGGTGTGGAGAGCTCAGAGGCCTCATCGAGTGCCATAGCGTCTCTCCCGGAGATGCACATGCTTGAAGAGCGCGACCTCGGGATTGCTGAGTGTGCTCTGATAGTCCCAGCCGGGACGAATGTGTAGCCTAGCATGGCGAAGAGGATAGATCGTAGCTCTTACCGGCGCGCTCATTGTCCTGACAAATGTCTTGCGGTACCAGTGGGCCACGGCGAGTTTAAAAGGCCCGTGCCACAACGAATGAGATGCCGCATCTGGCCCTGAGTTTGTAAACGAGACGGAGTTTGTAATTAGGGCCTGCTTCAAGCGTATGCGCGGTTGTGGCTGAAGACCGGGTCAGTCTTAATCCGATGACAGCTTGTGGCGCTGAGACATGAGCTACGCTTGAACAATAGGAAAGGACGCGGTGGTAGCCCACCGGCACGTCGGCAAAAATAAATACGATCTCAGTTCGAGATAATTCCAAGTGTCGGCCACGACGAAGAACGGGTGGGATCATACTGCCTACGATATCGCCAAGGAGAGTTGATCAGCTCTTCTGTTTGGATGCTCCCGTCCGGCGAGCGTGTGATGACCCATGGCCAGTTGCTGTCCGGCAAGCCGTCTCGTCTCGAGCGTCGGGCAATAGGCTGCAGGGAGCTTCGCAACCTCCCCCGATGGGTCAAACCATTCATCTTCAAAGTGCTCTCACTACTCTTTGGGATAGCCGTTCTCGAAGGGCTGCATGGCCGCTGGTAACAACGACATCGAGACGTCAAAGTCCCAGGAGAAGTGTGAAAGATGGTGAAAACGTCCGAGTCGCCGTGCGTACTCCCACGTTGGATACGGCCAGACCGCGGGAGCTTCCTTCGATTGTCGATAGCTGACGCGTACACTAGGGTAAGAGATTTGAGATTGGGCAGTTTCTGTGCGACGTCGTCGATGAGCTCAGGCTCGCCGTACGTAGTACCGTCGAGCACGAGGCATTGCAAAGCAGAGCCTTCCAGCGCGGCGAGCAATTCGTCCACGATGAAAGGCGGGATCCCTATGTGTGCGAAACCATCGGGCCATCCTACACGTTGCACGCCATTGATGAGAGCACGCTCAGTAGTGACAAGCGAGTTCCAAGTCTGTATGATCTCCGGCGGGGAATGCTTGGCGCGTTACCCGAGCGAAACAGCCACAACCAGCGAATGTTCGATGGTGAGGGCATGAATGTCCGCGTTGACAGCTCAAGAGGGCTGGAGGTCCATATAGTCAGATTCGGGACGGCGGATGTGGCGTAGCTGAGCCTATGACTCTACTGTACGTAATCCGGAGATGTTCCAGTCTCTGAAGAGCAATTAGGTTCTCCCTCGCTGCCTCAGTGATCACCGTCTACAACAGGAAAAGTCTCTTCTCTTGATATTTGGGCAGCAGGCGATAAGGTCTTGCACGTACATAGAACCGGTACAGTGAGATATTCCATGATGTTGCTATCGAACAGTTGCCAACCCTCCGCGTTGCAATATATGTTCGACCAGCCTATAATGAACAGCGATTCGATACATTGAGTGATGTCGGGCCGCTACATTGGCCTCTATGCATCCTTTCACCTCCTCTAATCTCCAAATAAGCCTTCAAACTTCTGGATCAGCATCGGTGGTACAGCCACGCACCGTAAAGGCATCTCATGGCCACAATAGAGTACACCGTCAACTTCCACGTCTCTTCAAACTTTTTGAGCAAGTCATCCGGGTCGACATAGAAAGAGTCGACCATGAGCGGCGGCGGCGGGTTTTCCGGTAGCGTGACGACCTCCCCCAAAAGAGTCATGCACAGGCACTTCCGTCTCTGTACTGTGTTCAAGCAGCTCGTGGAGCTCTGCCGCGAACTCCGCCCATTACTCCTTGACGGATCGGTCCTTGCATTCATGTCGGCCTGTGAGGTCTAGGATTCCCTGTGACGAGTCAAATCACGCAACCTCATACAATACAGCATTTGAACCCACCGTGTGGAAACCCCTCATCGTCTCATAGAAGCGCAGGACACGGTACTGTACGCCATGCGCGCCACAGGGATCATTACGCGG